ACCATGAGTTGTTTTGGGCAAAGAATCAAGGTATTTTATTCTGGGGTTTGAGACAGGGTACGAAAGGTCTAATCTTTCCACATGTCAAAAATCTATAATTCTTGAAGAATTAAAAGAATCAATAATTCATTTAATATTCGAAGAACTAAAGATTAAAATTTGTTCAATTGCTCCACCTTAGAAAGCAGCATAAATTCAATCATTTAAAAGAATAAGCAAACATGAAAGATCAAAGACGTGTTCAAACAAAACAATCCTCTAAGTACAAATGGTATATGCCATGCCCCCTTCTTCGACAAGCGCCTTACAGTTTTCAGAGGAATGTTTGGGGCTTCTTATGTAATAACAGCTAACAGCTTCAACATCGTAGCCCTTAGGATATGAGGATTCTTTTCTTAGATCATCTTGACAGGGTTTGTCATACAATCAGCTGATCAGGTTCCCACTGTATTGTTTTCAGTTTTTTTAATGTTACAATCTTGCTTCCATGTGGTTAAAACCACTTCATCGAATCCTCCATGAAGAAATTTCATGTTTATGAAAATGCTTAAATATGAAATGTAGATGCACAACGCAAAATAAAAAAAAATACATGAAATGTTCGAGGCATTGATCTAGAAAAGTGTCCATTATTATAAATAATCCTTATTTCGACAAAAATGTTTTATCTTGTAAGAGACATAAAAACAATCAAAGGTACATTCGGACTAAATCCTCTAGACCCCGAACAGCTTCCAGCAGGTTGACAAGTCTTCTGTTTTTATCTGTCATTGGTTGTATGCCTTGTTGGATCACTCCAGCTTCCCTTGCCAGGCCGTGTAGATGGCGATCTGTCTTCTGTACTTGATCCAGGAAGTCTCGGATGACTGCGTCTCTGGCCTTCACCCTTTGTTGTGCTTGCTCCCAACGGAAACGCCACTGTAAACCTCTGTCGAAGGGCACTATCTAAAGCTTGCTTGCTTTCTTCTTGAACTCATCTACAATAGTTTCTAACTCAGCTATTGTTTTGCTATCTCTCTCATGTTGTTTCTCCAGATCAGCCATCTAGATTTTCAAGCGTTGGTTTTGATGCTGGCTGTCTACTAAAGCATCTCTGGGCAGTTTTTATCTGTTCTTTCCAGGCTCTCTCATCAGGCCCCTCGAATTTTCTTTTCAAGCTGTGAGCTTCATCTTTCCAGTACTCATAAGACACCTTCAACTTGGAGTTATCTTTGACCGTATCTTGATACCCCTTTCTCAAGTCTTCAAGCTCAAAATGGACTTTTTTATGTTCTCTTTCTAGTTTGTCTACTTTATCTTTCTATGAGTCGGCCTCGAGTTTCTATTGATAACGTTCAGTTTCAAGTTCCTTAATCCTCTGCTTCAGCTCGCTATTCACAGCTTCAAACTCTGTCTTGGCTATCTCCAGTCTGGAAAGGACATGCCTGAGACCGGGACGTTATCATTATTTCTCAATCTTCGCCACTCCATATAATCCCGAGTAAGCATGTCTCTGGTAGCAACGACATCCATTCGAAATACTTTCTTCCATGACTCAGATGTTTCCCTGATCATCTTCTTATAACTGTCACCGCTATACACAAACTCTGATTTAATTAGTCCATATGTTGCGGGGACAAACTGACGTACCCCATACTGTCTAAGTGCTAACAATGGAGCATACCCAACTGCACCCCAAAGTCCGAGTAAAATTATAGTATCAGAATCCCCACACCGGAAAAGAACGTCACCGAGGAACAACCAGGGGGCTCTCCAGGTAATATCTCGATCCTGAAGATGTGTAAAAACTTTCATCCACTTTTCCTTTGAAGCACCTTCATGCCATTTCATTGTGATGAACTCCCCTAAAGGTGAATATGTGGTGCTAAATCGGCGGTATGCGACCCCGTTAATCTTCCAGAAATGGTTGTGAATCCAGACTTGAAGGAGTTGAATACACCCAACGAGCCTACCTCCACCAGATCTTCGACAATGATTAAGAGACCGAAAGGTTTCGGCTAAGATGGTCGGTGCGGGGTTGATTCGTCTCGGAAGTTGTTCAAACAATTCTACCACGGCTGCGTTAATGCAACCCAATGCCTTCGAAAAGATAATCAACCCGTACAGACCTAGTGCAAAAAGGTCTATAGTCTTCCACTCATCAGGGTGGTTCTTCATTAATTGCCTTATGTGAATCCATTCAATTCCTTCCCCACTACCTCTGCGCTGAGTCCGGTCAATTACCCATTTTTCGTCTACTCCCGCAACTTAGCCAGTCTGTTCTTGAAAGGCTGACTCTTGATGTGTTTGATGTAGGCTCGCTCTAGTTTAATGCTTTCACAGTGCAATAGTGTAGTATACTCCTCGATGGTAGGTACTATGTCCTCTTGGTTAAAAGTGAAGCAACTATATCCCGGGTTCCAGAATTGAACCAAGGCTCTGATTAAGGGCTCGCCGATCTTAACATGAAGCAAAAGTGCAACGTCACCAAACCGCTGACTAAACTTCTGTTTTCGATCATTCTTCTAACAAGCTCTGACACATAACTTCCTTAAAGACTGACTCCCTTTTCTTTCTGAGGCTTCTCGGACCATAGTCGTACATCAGGGTTTTTAATCTCCTGTATTACAACACCTTTGTCCATTAATGCAGATTATTTATGGTTAACGAACACGTTTTTTGGTGGATCAACACCTCTTTTGAATGATGCAGATGATGGAAATAAAATAAAAGAGAGGAAAAAAATAAAAAGAATTAGTAAGGTAAAGATAATAATCAAAGCAATCATAAAAATAAAAGTCTTACCCCACATGATATCTACCTCACATGCTTATTATTCATTCCCGGATATGATCTCTATCTCGCAAGTTGATTTTGAACAAGTCCTAACCGCATAAATTTCTAGTTCACATGTTTTGAATAGAAAGTAAAACAAAAAATAATTTCGGCATCCTAGGGGTTTAAAACGAGATTTTGGGGTGGGCCCTAACTCCTTGTAATCTCCGGGTTTAGGTTCTAAAAAAAGATACTCGAGTTCTCCTTGCTGATGCCCCATTGGGCTTACCAGATCTTTAGTTCTAAACCCATCACAGGCTTATGTGGACTAAGTTAAACTCGAGAGGAAACATTCCCTTATGCCCATACGGAGAATAAATTCACACAAAGGCATAAGGTATATGAATCCCGAAGGTTACTTGCTAGGCTCATACGATGAGTAAATTCACACGAATGCGTCGCTTTCACCCCTACTTAAAACGGGTTCGGAGCTCAGGTATAGAGTCTTTGGATGAAAAATCTTTAAGGGCTGAAATCATTAAAAAACGGTCAGTACAACTATTTACTCGAAAATATAATCAAAAGTAAGTAATAAGGATCGAAATGTTATCTTAAAATTTAAACTTACATTTTCATTAAAAAGACAACTAGAAATTACCTTAGCCTGACTCACTTACCTGTGTCCCCAGTGGAGTCGCCAAGCTGTCGCAACCGCCTTTCGGTTAGGCCCCGGAATTGGGTTTCGACTTAAAAAATATGGATTGGGAGTCGCCACCAATCATTTATTTAAAACAAATGGGTTGATCAGATACCCTATTTCTTACCTGATCTGCGTCTTTCCAAAGATGTGTCGGGTTCGTGAGTCGGTTACGGTCAAGAAGGATTAGCACCCTTGAACCGCCCTTTCGATACTACGTAATTTCCAGTTGTCTTTGATTAAGAAAATTACAAGTTAAATTAAAAGGTAAAATTTGATCCGAATTACTTACCTTTAATGAGTTTACGGAAATACCCTTAAAAAATTAAAATAAGATGTTAAAAGAAAATAATAATAATAAAAGAAAATAATAAAACTAAAGAGTAAACCAAGGAAATAAATGAAATCAATAATAATAAACATAAAATAATTGGATGAAACAAATAAAAAAATGAAATTGAATAAAATAAAATAAATGAAGAAAAAAATATATATACAAAAAAGAATAAAAAAGGTAAAGTGTTTTTAAAAAAATAATAAGAAGAAGAACAAAGAAACTAAAATCATAATGAAAATAAATAAATAGTATAAATAAAATAAAAAAATAAAAAATATATAAAAATGTATGTATAATATAATAAAATACTAAATAGTAACAATAATAATAAATAAATAAAAAATAAATATACATATAATATTAACTAAAAAATAGTAATCATAAAAATATAAAATAAAATGAAGTAAGAATATATATATATACCGTTAGGAAAATATAGTAAAAAAATAATAAATAAGTAAAAATAGATAAAAAATAATAATATATATATATATATATATAATAGAAAATAATATAATATAACGCAAAAAAAATGAAAAAAATTATAATAAATAAATAAATAAATATAATATAATATATATATATATATATATATATATATATATATATAGAAATAATAAGGGTTAAATTAAAATAAAAATGAATTAGGGGTCAAAATTAAAAGTCAATCGAAGAAAAAAACGACAAAACACGCGGATCCACACGACCCGTTTATAAAAATCTGAATAGTTTTTCAAAAAAACATGCCTCGAGAATTAGATCTACAAAAATAGATCTCGAAAACACCATTGTTCATCGGCCAAAAACACTTCTCTCAGTTTTCTTTTGAATCAAAACATAACAAGAGTAAGGAAAAATAACATGCGAAGGTATAAACTTTACCTTTCAAAATATAAATGCTTCAAAAAATGACTACGAGTTGCTTGTAATTTTTTATTTGGTATTTCGTATATCCTTCTTCGAATGTGTTACAATAGTGAGTTACAATGACTATTTATAATGCTTGTGGATCCTATCTTTAAGAATTTAAATAATAGTAGAACTCTATCCTATTTTTAGAAGTTGAATCCTAATAAAATCATATCCTATTTTTAGAAATTTGAATCTTAATAGGACGAAAATGTGTATTGACACAAGAGCATACTCATTAGCAGGTATGTTTAAATGATAAAAAATCCTAGTCTTTATATCATACTCCATAGTTCCACTCACGGCACCTCCATAAAGAGCATGATTACTAAAATTAGCAGTTACTTCAGACAAATTAAATATCGTTGTATCCCAGTTCTCTTGAGTTTGAGTATAAGAGAACAACCCAAAACCACAGTAATCAAGGCATACCTTTGTAGAAGATTCAGACAAGTGGCCGTATTCCTCCTCTCTCAAATGGTCAACCTTATCGGTTGCTTGAAACTTGGGGTACACAGTGAGGAACTTGGAAAATGCATCATGGAGGCCAGGAACGGAGTCTTGCGCACAAACCGTACGGTCTGCAAAAAGTGAAGTGGCGTTCAAGAATTCATTTTGGGCACGGAGCCTAGCCAATGACCTCGACCTTCCAATGCTCCCTTCTTGGTTCAAAGACGAATGATCAATGCCTTGGGATTTAGTAAGCGACCCATCTTTGGATGCTTCCTCCAGAGCTTCCCTGAGCCTGTTTTCTTGCAATTGTCGGAGCATTGAAGGCTTCATCTCCGAGTCCTCCCTCAAACCGGAACCGTTTATTCTTCTGGTTTTCTTTTCTGCTATTAAAGCTGCACAATGGGATATTGGTTTCCATAGTGAAAAATGCATGAATACCTTCCTCTTTTGTCTCTATCAAAAATCTCGGCTAATAGAACCAGAGAAGCAAACTTTCTAGTTCAAAGAAGCCTTGAATAAAAGCACAACGAGTTTCAAAGAATCAAGCTTTAGCTCTTTTTGTAAATAGCAAAGCACTTTACTTTATTTGCCAAACAAATATTGCTGAACCAAAACTCTGCTTTTATAAGATCAAAGAAGAAATGGTCATAAAGAAGAGGAAAGGGAAAACAAAGTATCTATATGATTAGAATAAGAAAAACAAAAGCTTTGGCTTAGATCAAAGAACTCTCTTTAGAATATGAACCTTTAAGGGCCCATTGTTTGAGGGTTCCAATTCAAATTTAAAACCATCCCAGGTATTAACCCCACAAAAAATGCAAAACCCAGATTCATAAGCATCCCAAATTCCCCAGAAAAAGAATCAGAACGTCAAGAAAAGACTCTCAACAAGAAGGAAGTTCACGCAAAAGAAGAGAAAGGGAGGAGAGACTGTCTTGTTTTCTCTGAGATAGAGCAAAATATTTTCGTTTCTTTAAAGTTGAATCCTTTGAGAGTTGGGAGCTTAGACCAATCAATTCCCTCACTTACTACTAGCAGTTAATACAAACATGTCCGCATTAAATGCCGGTTGCCTCTCGCCCTTGCCCACCATTATTACCCCTGACCTTTTTTTAGTGGACAGTCAGTATTGCCCCTCGTAATCAACCGAACTTCTTTTCTTAGTTTCAGTCAACCCTTGGTTTTAAATCTGTTGTCAAATATGGAAAAAAATCATGAAAAAATAATACAGAAAAGCAAGATGCCATAGATGCATGCAACAACTATAAGCTTCCGGAAGAGTTATATTATTGAATAATCACAAGTTTGAATGTCATTACGCTTAGATGCAATAATTCAATTTGTATTCTAAAAGGGAAATCGGGAACATGATTTGGGTGGAATGTTTACCCCACCATTCTGCAAGCTTTACCCAACTAATAACTTTAGACATTAATTGTCATTTTCAATCCAAATATCAAACCAATATTTTTTAGCATTAACTTCATATTATTTAGAATTTATTGAATAATTTAAGAGAACATTTTCTTTAAAAGATTTAAACTTGGTACAATTATGTCGATAAAATATGTACATTATTAATAAGATAAGAAAAAGTGCATTAAAAAATTTATATTATATAGGAATTAAATAATTTTTGTGGTTGAAGAATTGTTTATTATTCCTAGAATCTAAATATCTTAGATTTGAATTTATTGTCACTATATAAACGTCTAGTATTAAATTATTAAAAATCTTTTAAACAAATATAATCATGTAATACCTCGGACTAATTAAAAAAATCATGATATTATTTACTCTCCAATCCAATTTTGTAAAATAGTAAAGGGCAGGGATGACTTTTTGTGTTCAATGGTGATTTATTAAATTAGGATTCCCCAACGTATTACGGAAGAACATTAGGAAATAGACACTATCATTTATTTTATTTTGAACTTTTTATTAAAAATATATATTTTATTTTCCTTACAAAAGATATTTTTTATTTAATAACAATAAATTATATTCTATGGTGTCAAATATCTGCAATATATAGTTTGACTTACCGAAAACGTATAATATTGACCATTATCTCTTCATTTAAATTGATACATTGAGCAAACAATATCGGACGTAATCAAATTTTTAAGTAAGAATTAGAGCCAAACTTCAAACCACGTGTCGTTGGCCTATGCTTCGTTGGGATATGCAAACCTTTCTGCTGTTAAAATTATATATATTGACCTGATTTTTAATATATGTATATATTAAGGATTTGATTCACGTTGTATTATAAATTAATTAAATGTCTATTCAATTAAAATGTATAAACTTTTTTTTATAGAATAATTAATATTTGAGTAAATTATATGTTTAATCATCCAATTATTCACATGGTTTCATTTTGGTCATCTAATTATTTTTTTTTCAAAAATATATTTATCGATAACACACACCCTACAAACGCAGTTGTTCGAACCCAAAACCTCTAGAGAGGATAACCTTCCTTTTTACCTCTAAGGCCACTTAATAAATTTTATAATGATACAATTATTAGAATTAAGGAGGATGTAATAATAATACATTTAATAAAATAAAAATCAATAATATCATAAGTGAAATGATAAATTATTTTACAATAAAATAAATTTTTAATATTAATTTTTAACTATTTTATTAAAATATTTCATTGATTTAATATAAAATTTATTTATCGCTATATTCAAGAAGATGTTTAATGATAAATAGATTCATTATTTCAAAAGTTATTTATTGGTTTTACCTTTATAATTTTCATCGAATTCTTTTTCTTCGAATAATTTAAAATGATCATAATATAGTATATGTTCAAAATATATTTTAATTATTAATAACAAATACACATTTGTGTAGATGCAACTACTTGAACTCGAATCTTCTAAAAAGAAGAATGCACATTTTAAATTTCAAATCATAACAAAGGTGAATTTAGTGGAATCAACCATTTCAAACAACAAAAATTCTAAAAACTCGCCATTAAAGTTTGGTTGAAATTGTATGCTTAAAGGACATGCCTTTACTTCACCTCTTTGTCAAAGGGCTATCTTTACAATTAATGACCTTGGATTTTCAGCCATCTTTGTACTGTAATTAGATAATCTAAGTTTGTCTCCAACATCACATTTAACATTGGAGTTTGTTTGTTTGTCGTTTAAGTTGTTGTTTTATCAATGTGTTATCACCCTTCACAAAACCAGATTTTTTTCCTCTTACCCTGTGTTACATTTCTTGTTTGTCCTGTAATTAAATTAAAACTTGCAAATTGTTTATAGTATCCATTTTGGCAGCTTTCTTTAAAGTATTTGGACAAGCATTTGAAGCTTGGTATAAAAGTATATATAAACAAAAGGGATATGGACAAAACATACACACACTAAAGAAACAAGCCAAACCAATAAAAAAAAGACAGCTAAAAACGCTTTATTTTCATCTGTTGGACAACTGTATGATATCTTACTTATTCAAAGATTAGGGGAATAATTTTTCATAGTTAAGCTATAATTATTGTTTGGAAAATTAATTATATTTAATTAACTTTTTTTAATGCATTAGGGTGCTTTTTTTCGTGGTAGGTGTAGAGATTGGTAAGAAATGGAGTTGAATCGCTTTCCTTTGTGATGTCCAATTCATAGTTATTTTTAAGGGTAAACTACATATTTAATATCACAACTATCACATTTGTTCTGTTTTAGTCATTCAACATTTAAAAAAAATCATACATGCATGTCATTAAGAAAATGACGGTGATACTAATGTGTCACCATAAGATAATATTAAATCTAGAGACGAAGCCAGATTGAATTATGATGGGGTAAATTGTTTAACTTTGAAATAAATATGATCTTTAAAATTGAATAAACCATATAATTTAAAGAATTTATAGTTTAATTTTATTAATTTTAAAATTGAAGGGTCCTAAAAACCAAAAAAGAAATAGAACTCGAAATTTCATTTTTAAATTGAAAGGGTCCTAAATTATAACTAACCTAGTGAATTTGGGAGGTGTAGGGGCTTAAGTGTAATGATTTCAAAAATATTAATTACCTAAAATCAATTAAACCATCAAAAGCTTGGGGAAATTGTTCCTCCCACCTCCCTCGTAGTTTCATTGAAAGAAAAATAAGGAATACCACGTCAATTCTGTTAAATTTTTAATGATGGATGGTCAAAATGAAATTAAGACGTAAAATTAAATATGTTTTTTTAAAAAATAGATCGATAACGAAAACGAAGTAAAGGTGATAGCCGGAGTACTAAACATGTAGTTTATCATATTTTTAAATAATATAAGATAAACTATGTATTTAGTCACCCACTATTTCTATAGTTTCATTTTGGTCATCTAATTAGTTTTTTTCAAAAATCATCATTAAACATATAATTTTGTTCTATTTTGGTCGCCTGTCATTTAAAAGTTAATGTTGATACTGACGTGTTACCACAAGATAATGTCATGTTATCATTGAACAATAAAAAAATTGTCACGTTACCAATTCTATTTATTTTTAACAAAAATATAAGTTTAGTGAACATTTTAAAAATAAATAGTTAGATGAATAAAACTAAAACAACAAGAATAATTAGATGACTAAATATATAGTTTACCAATAAAATAAAATGGGCACCAATATCCAGGTCATTGGGGGCGGTGAGGCTCAAAAAGTTGTTGTCTGTCCATGCAATGCAAATGTTGGCTGGTGATGTCTTTTCCCCATTTTCTTTATTGCTGCAATAATAATAACGATAAAAGTATATGGACATACGTGTTTAGGGTTTTGGGGTTTGCAAAATCATCCATTAATGCCGAAAAACTAACAGCAACGAGCACTATAACGACAAAAACCATCATTTTAATTTATAAAATTTTAAATTCTAAATAATCTAACGTATAAATATAAATTAATCAATACTTTAAAGATAAATTATTTAAAATAAAGGGTAAACTATACTAGTGACCACCAATTATTGTCCATTTTTATTTAGACCAATATTTTTAAAATTTTGTCATCATATTACTCAACTATTTAAATATATTTAATTAAGTCACTTTCTTTTAATATTTAAGAAAATCTGACGTGACAGTTAAAAATTAATATAACTACACATTTAATCATTATTACTTATATATTCTATCATTTTAGTTCTAATTTTAATAAATTAAAGTAAACTTAATCATTAAATCTTTAATTTTAAAAGATTTTAAAAGTTACAACATATTCTATATTTATAAAAAAATAAAATTTTTACTAGAAATTTTATTTATGGTTCTCAAAGCATCCCGTCAATGTACCATAACCTCTTTTGGTTTTAAGAAAAATTTAATTGATTAGCCCATACATATAAAGTTAGCTGGAGATAATTTTTATCCTACTATTATTTGTAAATGACATTCTACTAGAAAAAGGTGATATAGTCTAACCTATAAAACTAAGAAATTTTTATCCAGTAAATTTCTAATAGAAAAATGTGACATATATTCCTTTCACGTTTGACACAGTCTTTTTTTAAAATTTTAAAAAACATCTCCTACCATAAAATTTTATGTCCATCTTTAATAAAAGTTTATACTGATAAGATTCTCGGTAGAATTAGCATGGAAGATTTTGCACTAAGAGATTGACCTATATCAAAAGGGAAATAAATTTAGTTTACTTTAAATTTAATATAAAAATATTGCTCGAGTTATTCAATTTTTTAGAAAAAGGTTTTGTTATAAATTTTGTTTTTGTTATAAATATATAATTATTGTAACTTTTAAAATTAAAATTAAAAGTTGAGTTTTGGATCATTATATATGGCACCATTTGATTTAAGGGTTAAGTTTATTTTAATTTATTAAAATTAAGACCAAATTAATGGAATATATAACAGTGACCAAATGTGTAATTATACTAAATATTTTAACTGTCACATCAGCGTCTACGTTAGATATTGATGACAAATGACTTAATTGAATGCATTTAAATAAATGAGTGATCTTATTGACAAAATTTCAAAAATATTGGTCAAAATGAAAAGGGGCAATAATTAAGTGGTCATTGACATAGTTACCCTTTTATTTTAATAGTTTATATT